GCCCCTGTTTGACCCCCATTATTTTGCATTTTTGGGGGTTGAAAATTTTTAGAATAGTGATTGATGGGAGAATGTGTGGTTGAAATTTTTTTGATTTGTGTGTAATATTATTTTATTTGATGAATGTGTGGTTGAAATGAAGAGAGAAAAATTTAATGTAATATAATGAAATTTAATGAGATCAAACAAGGGTTTAGTTAGATCTTGCTCTTTTATATTTAGTTAGATAGATACTTAACAGCTAAGTTTTTGTTTCCACCGACTTGACTTTCCTCCGCTTAGACGTACAACTTATGCGTTCAAGATGACTCAGGTGGGTATGTGTGTAGAAAAGTGTGTATAATTTTTTGCTTTTCTTCCAATATTGGTTGTGAAAAATACAAGCGTGGTACCATCAATTATTTTGAAGTTATATGATCAATAAATTATACAAGTTAATATCTCTATAATTTTTTCGAATACAACTTTTTTTAAATTTTAAAAATCAATTTTACCTTTTATAAATAGTTTATTGGTAAAAATAAAAAGAATAACGTAATATTTTTTACTAAATATTGAGAATTCTATAAAGTAATATTGTGAAACTTTGAAATTTAGTTGGAGAAATTACTGCAAGACGGGTTGGTTTTCACATGCTTAGCTACCACTCAACCACAAACTCCTCATGACTTTAAAACCTAAAAGTCACTTTTTCTAATATTTCTTTTTAGATGAAAGTAGAATCACTATTAATGAAATTTCGTTGATTAGTTGAATCACAATTAATGTCATTTATTTGAATAAAAATACTTTTTCGAAGTTTTTTAAAATTTGATCAAATGTAGATGTAATTGTTTAAATCTTGATCCGATATGTTTAAATCACATTCTTTATCCATTATCACATTTATGTCTCAAACTTTTTTCATTATATTCTTATCATCAATTTTTTTATAGCATATCTCGTCCCTAATAATGATTTATGTCCCAAAAAAAAGACTTCTACGTCTATCTTATTTTTGAATAAGAATAAAAATAAAAATGGCAAATATAAAATATTTGTCCCTATTTTGAAGCATACTTGTGGAATTTTTCAGGAATATCGTCATTAAGTACATGGTTTGCTAATTACGAAAGATGAAGGATAAGAATATTATTGAAATTATTAGATGATCAGCACCTTACCGGATGATCAACACCTTACTGGATGACACTGAACTTACCGGATGATCAACTGGAAGACTACCAGCAAGGAAGCTAACGTGGATGAGCCACATAGCATCAACAGAGGAATGATTTAGAAGGG